ATAAACCGGGTTTATTACAAATAGTGTACAGAGCGCCAAGTAAAAGGTTTGATGTAACTTTACTGAATTATCAACTATTTTCTTCTGAGGACACAGGTTAGTTTGTACTACCTGGGCATTTGACTTGATGATTGTGATACACGGTGGAATGAAGAGTTAAAAACTGCAGCTACAGAAGAAGTGTTGAGCACAGGCACAAACTCTTCCAGAGCACTGGGAGTATTCAAATGTGGACAATCTTTCAAAATATTAATATAAGGCAAAGGAGTCGTTTGACTGCTTTTAAATGCTTCATATTCTGTCATACCTATAAACTAATTTAAAATTTCTGGAACAAATAAAATTAAAACCAAGCTTGTCTGCTCAACACAGTTATTTGTAGCAGACTTTTAACTTCCTGAGAGGTCCTAAGGAAGTACTTTTCTTTGTAACTTCTTTGGATGAGAGAATAAGAGATAGGAGAACGTAAGATGCGTAAGCTAAAATTTGTGAAAACCTAGCAGTCAGGCACTGGATATAGGAAATATTTTGCTAAGGAGCTATTTGAAATTTCAGCTAGCAGAGAATTTTATGGCTGAATTAAAATCCTTTGGAAACTGAGTTACAGAGGAATTACTGCAAAGTTGAGACAGTGGTCAGGAGCTGTCGTCAACGTGGTGGTTCTTCAAGTAAATAAAGCTGTAAACCGTGTGAAGTTTATTTACTCAGTAAATGACTGGAGTACTTTCCTGTCTGCTATCTTCTAAAAAACGGCTAGAGTCAAGTGATACTTTGAAGACTCAAAAACCTGGGTTTGCCTTGTAACTGAATTGGAGGTGTCATTCCAGGCCCATGCTTTGCCCGATTTGCTCCTCGAGGCATTACCTTTACCAGACTTTTGGCTCAGACCTGCTGTAGTGCTTAACAGATGGGAGTAATCCCTGTCTCTCTAATTGCCTTTATGCTTTGAATCTTGTTCTCATTTTCCAGAGGTTAAAAATACTTTGATAATTTAAGCAGCTAAATAAAGCTTCCGAGTGCAGCGGTGTGGTCGCTCCATGTTCTTAGCTTGCCATCTACGATCACCGCATTAATTCTGACATACCGTTGTGAGCGTTCTACATCTGATTGCATTAAAATAGCTTCCCATGTCATATTTTAGTAGATAAAATTAAATTATTGGCTCTTCTAGCCAAGGCTGGCACCCTTAATAAGATCATAATCTCTGGTACAGAGGAAAAGACGGTTGTTTCAGTGAAAGTTGAGGAAAGGCGGGCAAAATTCAAGCAATAGTGCCCACTATACTACTCCTGCCAGTCCTATTTCTGAAAGGAAGTTTTCCTTGTATACCCCTTGCTTTACCTCTCTATTTATAATTGATTCTATTCTTCCCCTTTGCTACTGTCTTTTATATTGAAACATACCAGGAGTATTGTCACATCTTATTTTTAAGCTTTCCTCAGGGTTATACATGGAGCAAGATTGTTCAAATGAATGTTCTTCTAGACTCTGAATTAAAGAAAAGGGCATTTGACATGCTCACTGCCTAAGCAGTCAATGTCTAGACATAGTTTTTCAATCCAATTTAAGCTTTTCCTGTACAAGAGAAACTTTTTCCTTCCAGCTGCCTACATTTTAGAATAGAGTAACAGTAATTTCACATCATCTCAAATCTAGACAGAGGTTTCCATTGAGTTACATGTCTAGTTGTTTCCTTCCTAAAATATTTGTTGCACAATAAGAAGCAATTAACTCCAAAAAAAAAAACAGATAAAAAGGTCACGATGATAGGTTTTCCAGTCTTTTGAGAATATACTGTTTTTCAAAATCCATTTTCAGTTATCTGAGAACAAGGCATTATTTGCTGTGCTCTGGTAGGAAGGGTTTATAGAATTATGTAAATACTTAAGATTCCTTTCAGCTGCAATTAGAGTACCCAACTCAGATGTTTTTGTAGCACCCAAAAAAGTTAGAGTTAACGAAAACATTCTATGTTACTCTCATATTCACCGTTTACTTCAGGAGAGAACAATCATATGGTGAAGAATTGAATGAGCAGAACAGGGACACCTAATCTTCAGAGGAAACAAAGCACAGACAGTGGCAATGCAGACACAGTCACATCTTAAGCCTGACCTGACTGAAACCCTTAGGAGTGCCTCTTTTGATTCAGTCTTTATGTGATGTTTACATGTGTATTTTATGGTGAGTTTCCACCTTCTAATGGAGTAAGACCTTTCACAAGATGCTAAGCAGCCACCAGGTTAATGCAGACTTTCATTCACTACTCCGCAGAGATGAAAAGATGTAAATTTAATTAGCATTCCCCAGAATCATCTAGTTGTGTGCTATTAGTGGAACTTCAGAATCTGCATTAAATGTTTTCTTCAGAGCTGATCCAATCTGATCTGAGGACTTCTTTTTTTTTAATAAAAGGGGTGAATATAATGGAAAAATACTTCCTATGAAAGTCCTCTAATTTGTGTATTAATAAAAGCTTTAACATCCCTGTTTTTCTTGTTTTTAGGCGAATATGTTGTTATGACTACACATTTTCATTTGAAGAGAAAGATCGGTTACTTTGTCATCCAGACTTACCTGCCATGCATCATGACAGTGATACTGTCACAGGTGTCCTTCTGGCTTAACAGGGAATCTGTCCCAGCAAGGACTGTATTTGGTAAGCAAGACCTATAAACCACTCGGCAATCATAAACAAAACAGGTTTGGGAAACTTTATGGTGAAGCCAGTTACGTGTGACATGACACTGGAGAACCACGTGAGCCTGCACGTCGTGCAGTACACAGCAGGTCATGTGTTTCGTTGCAAAGATGTAGCAGAAACTGATTTAAGATGCAAAGCTTTTAAACTGGCTGTAAAAGGAGACCTGAAAATATCTTAAGCAATCTATTGTAATTTGAATTTTTCAAAACAGTAAACTTACACATAAAACATTTCTGACAAAGGCAATGACATTCACGGTGAGGATTGTCAAAAAGGCAGTGGCTGTTGGTCGTTTGCCATCCTTAGGCCCTTCGAAACTTCTCATCTTAGAAGTCTTTTTTCATCAATCCCTTTTGCGGGCTGCTGCTACGGGTTTCCAGTTGCAATCAGTAAAAAATCATTGTGCTTAGACTAGTGAATAGATGCACTCAACGAATGCAGAATGACAATCTAAAGGACTCTAAGTTTATGCAGTTGGTCCCTCGTGTTTTCACCACCACTTGCAAATGCTTATCTTAAATTTGGAAACACAAAATTAGAAAAATAGAATAGTCTTTGGAGATATTAATCCAAGTCAATACATGATTATAAAAAAAAAAGAGAGAGCAGAAAAAAACCACATATAACAAATCTTCAGCTAAGGAAAACAGAACCTGAGATTTCTGCTATGTGACCTGGTCTTTTTTACGCCATTCAAATGGGACACCTGAACACCTTTGGAAGTGGAAGAACACACAGCCGTGCTGGCTCTTGCCCTCATGTCCCTGCCCCAGGGCACTGCTGGGGCAGGACACCATGGCACCTCCTGCTCTGCCAAAGAGAATTTACCCCTTTACTCTGGACATAGCAAAGCCAGAGAGTCACAAAGCCTGATGTTGAGAAACACAGATTCTGAAACCCTTGTTGAACAAGAGCTATTTTTATTGACCTTTTCTGGCACTCTTCACAGCTGTGCTTTAGTTTTCCAGTGCCTCTGGAAATTAGTCTCAACTTGCCTAGCATCAAACCTCCTGAACGAAGGAGAGTCTTTCTGTTGATTCACAGATGTGCATTTACAGAGGAATGGTTTAGGCCACAGTATAATTAAATTTGATTTACATAATATCATTTAGGCTAACATCTAAAATTAGTTCTGAATTTTTATCATCAACTTCACCGAGAATTAACCTGGGACTTTTATGGGTGTCTGTAGTCAAAGCTATTGAAATTGGAGCTATTTTATCTCTTTTAACATATGCTATTTAAAAAGAAATGTCAGATCATCAATTTGAAGTGCTGTACTTCATTGTCCCTAGATAGGGAATAAAATTTCCTAGTCCACAATGAATAGTGTATAATACCGTGTGACGTTCAAGCCACTATCTTCACAAGCTCAAGAACCCACACATCTCAGCAAGTTTTCCTTTTAGAAAACAGCTGTTTAGTAAATAGCCTTGTCTTGACTTCGTCAAGATAGCTTTTTCATTTCTTAATGACAGTAGAACAATGTTTTACATGGGTGTATAGACATGCAGAAGTACAACTTGCATCTTTTAGCCCACATAGGACCACAGATAATAAAAGTCATAGATCCTTTTTTATTACTATGCAAGGTAAAAATAAGCTCCCTAGTCATGTGTGAAGGATAAAATTAGCTTGTCTCTCGGGGAACAGAAATCCCTTCCTCATTAGGCACTAATAATTCAAGATCTTTACACCAGCACATAAATACATTGCTCATTATTTGGCCTGGTTTAGACCACTGCATGTTTTCACAAACACTGCAGAGAGGATGAACTCAACGTGCCACACTCCACACATGACACTGCAGTTGTCAAGGTAACTTGTGGGCATGTGATTTGATGGAAATATCTGGCCTGCACTTGTAGATTTTTATTTTTTTTCCCCAAGCAGCTGCAAGCAGAGTGAGTTCAATGCAGTCCTGGCCGGTTATGGGAAAAGGTTAATCAGCAGTGCTATGTTATTGTTGTTCTTACATAAATTCTTTGCTCTTTTCAGTGCCTCAGAGAGTAAAGCGACCGGAATCTGCACTACTATTGGTTCAGATAAATGTAGTATCATATAAAGCTTAGTGCATTTGAGTATGCCCATATCAAGTAAGGAGCATATATCAAATAAGTCAAACGAAACCAAATTTTCCAGTTTTCTATCTAAATATCTTAGAACAGTTGTGAGGAAGAACTAAAAACATTGTAATCACATCTGTAGGACAACTGGCAGGGCATGAGTAAGGAACGGCAACAGTGATTCTCCCAATACCAGGAAAAATAAAGTAGTATCCAGTCCACAACTCAAAATATTTTTTCTATTCCAACTTCGAAAATAACCTTCTGCTACAACAATATCAAAGAATAAAGGTATAAGAGATGCCTTGAAGATCCTGTAACTTTCACAGGACTTGAAATCTGGTACCCTCAATTAGCAACTGAACTTAAGGAGGGAAGTTTATAAAAATTAGGAGCAAGGCCAAGGCTTTCCCATATATTGTAAAAGCCAAGAAACGGAGCACAAAGTACAGTCACCGATGGAAAGGCACTGAAACTCTTTGCTTTGCAGGAGTCACGACTGTCCTGACAATGACCACTCTGAGCATCAGCGCGAGGAACTCTCTGCCCAAGGTGGCCTATGCCACGGCCATGGATTGGTTTATCGCCGTGTGCTACGCCTTCGTGTTTTCCGCACTCATCGAATTTGCAACAGTGAATTACTTCACAAAGAGAGGCTACGCATGGGATGGCAAAAGTGTCGTTCCCGAAAAGGTAACACCTTGATATATATCCCAGTAGGTCATGCTTGGTCTCTATCTGTTGGCTGGTTTTTTAGCCCCTTAAAAGTTCCTGTTATTCAGAACAGTGAATAATCATTCCAAAAGAGTTTCCTCCTGTATTTGCACATGGTGTTTCTATGTATAAACAATAATTGCTTAGACATCAAGTACTTAGATACTACTACTGACACACTAGGTGATAGTTAATGCTGTTCGTAATTACTAACTGCTATTAATTATTGACTAAAGTAGTTGGCAGTTGTATTGGGAATATGCAACTCTGCTGGAGGAACATCACGCTGACTGCAGCCTGGGATCAGCCCCGGTCTGTAGATCACAGGTGCGTCAAGAAGTTGTTGACATTTAGGAGATGAAAGAACGAGTCTCCCATTTCCTATGAGTTATGTCAGCTGCTTCTCTGAGGAAGCTCATTTGGATTTTGGTTGGGTTTTTTTTTTTGGTTTCGTTCTTCTGTGAGAAAGATCTTGAAAGAGATTTCTAACCTGCTTTAATGAACATGCACAGACTAGAGATTCAGCAGAATAAATATTTGGAGTAGCAGATGTTACTCACTGACACTCAAATATATGTGTTTAATTCAGGAGTATATGCTTTTTTTTTGCTAATTTAGTTGCATAAGTCAGTGAGAAAAGAAATTAGGACATTTACACAGTGACAACTAATATAAAAGTACTGTAGAACAAATGAGTGAGATAAAATAATGAGCTGCAAGACTGCTGGTGAATATTGAGTTTTCAGTTACTGCTGATCCTTTCACTGAGAGTTATTTGTATGACTGCTGTGCTCCTGTCTTCATGAAATGTGTTGTAAAAAATGGGGTGTGTTTATAGAACAATATCCTTAAATGTTGAATGTTGCCGTGCTAACATAAGCTACCTCATAACGTAGTTACTCTAATCAGCCATTCGTTTCAAAGAAAATTACATTTTCTGAAAAAAAACCCCACACCAATATAAACACAATATTCAAACGCTGTTTTTTAAACATTGGAAGATTTAGGTTTTTGCATTCCTCAGCAGGTAAGGGTCTTTCCACGTCATTTAATATAAATCAGCAACGGCATCCCACTACCTGGTAGAGTGCATTATTGGTGGGCGTAAGGAAAGCAAAGCAAAGCAAATGGACGGTGAGCAGAGCAGCACAGCTCTAATTTAGAGCTCTAATTAACTATCGCATTACTTTTTTCATACAGCTGAATTCAACTTAAAACATTAAGATGCTGAGTGGTGTCAGGGCTTTCTGTGGATCAGATTTCTCATGGCATTTAAATCTGTCAGAGGGGTCTCCCTGGAGACTTGTGTGAAGTGGATCTTGGCTTGCCACAGTTACTGCTGCTCACTGGAGTATCTGGCTGAGAAGGAAGCAGCACTGGCTTCGTACTCAGTGTGTTAGCAGCTTTCCTGCTCAGGAGGAAAAGAACAGACGGACAAAAAAAATAAAAAATATAATCTTTCTGGTATTACCTTTTTTCTTTCCCCAGTATTTTTTTTAGCCTGTTTGTTCCTCCTATTCAGCAGAAATTTGAAAGCTTTTTCTTGGCCTCAAGCTCAGCTGAACGTTACTGTCATGAAATAAAGAGCATCTACATCAAAGTGAACCCCATTTCTGACCAAGCAGCAGAAATTTAACATTTCAGCTTTCGTTGCCTTCCTGCGTGGGGCTCCAAGCCAGGCTTTGACAAGCCTCTCCCCTTTCGCAGCTTCCCTTCACGTCCCAAGGGTCCTGCAGGAGCCTGTCTGCTCCTCAAAATGTTCACCTCTTGAACAAGAACTTTTTTTCCAAAGCCCCCTTACTAGGTTGTCGATATAGCTATTAATCTACAGCTGATCTGTCGTGAGAAGTAGTGACTACTTAAAAAAAAATAAAAATGAAATGACACAATAGGTCACATTCTGCTGCTGTTTTCTTTAGATTGTTTTTTCCCCCTCCTTTCAAGAGAATAAAACGGATAAAACTTGCTTATTTGTTTTGTGGCAAATACTGCCTGAAGATTTTCTAAGCTCTTGGAATTATCTGGGATTTTTTTCTCTCATAATCAGAGAAACTTGAGGCGTAGCGATGCTTTTCTTTACCCCTCCTTAATGACCCACTGCATCTCTCTTCTACGTTTATCCTTGTGCAGCAGCTGGAGGGAGGTTTTGGACTGTCTGCAACAGGGACAGCCAAATTCCATCTGGTATCCCCAGATATCAAAATACTATTTTTGTTTTAACTTCGAGTAGATCCCAGAGGTAGAATACTAGAAAACGTAAGGACCCAGGGAAGAAATCTAGGTATTGCTTCTGATCAATAAGTTCTTCCCCACTAAAAGATTTTCAATACATTCTTGCTTTAGCAATAGAGGTATTTATCACACAGATGTTGTATGGCAAATGTGTGTATCATACAGCTATTTAATTCCGTGTATATAGAATAGCATTTCAGCCATTATGATCCTACTGTACCATTCAAACGTTTAAGTTTCTATTCCATAACACACATGCTTTTGGTGTAAACCAAAACAGTGAACAGAATAGTGGCAGCTTTGCATTTTATTTAATAACCCACTCATTTAGTGCTCTTTAGTGCTTTTCTAAATTTAAAAAAAAACCAAACCCAAAAAACAACAAAACAAGTATAAATAATACAATAAAATAAAATTAAAAAAAGGAAAATTCGCCGTTGTCCCAAGCGGATTCAAGTTTCTGGCTTTTATTTTTATTGTGTATTTTTATGTATGAACTGTTTTAATATTGGAAAGCTACATTAATAAATTCAGTGTCTTTTAAAGTTTTTGTCCTGGTCAAGAAGCACAGTCAATTAAGGGAATATTGAATTCTAAGTGGTTTGTCACTGTTGATTAACATTAAAAGCAATTTTGTCTATCAGTGCGCCTAGCTATCAGTAGACACCCTCATTATAGTTTATCCATCATCTAATTTGGTTTAACTAATACAAGCAACGCAGATGGATGATTTTGCCTTTGTCTTCACCAAAATATATTGCATGAGCAGTCTATCCGGACACTGATCTCTTTCTTACGGCTTATTACAAAATTTGTGGTATGAATTCAATTAATTGCACAGTCGGTGTTTGTTCTTAATCATCTCAAGGGATAAGGTAGCGAGAATAAAACATTTTCTTCTTTCTTCAGCCAAAGAAAGTGAAGGATCCTCTCATTAAGAAAAACAACACGTACACAGCTGCAGCTACGAGCTACACCCCCAATATTGCAAGGGACCCTGGGCTGGCAACCATTGCTAAAAGCGCAACCATCGAGCCCAAAGAAGTTAAGCCAGAAACAAAACCTGCAGAACCCAAGAAAACTTTTAACAGCGTCAGTAAAATCGATCGACTATCAAGAATAGCCTTCCCCTTGCTTTTTGGAATCTTTAACCTAGTCTATTGGGCTACCTATTTAAACCGGGAGCCGCAGTTGAAAGCTCCAACTCCACATCAATAACCTCATTTATCCGTAGAGTCCTGTTTTGTCTTTCGCTCTGGGAATTGCTTCCCGTTGTCACATAGAGTAATTCCCATTTGCTTCATTGCCTCTGTCTTAAAAGAAAATAAAGGTTTCCTTATTTAACAAAAGGTAAAAAATAGATCTGTATATTTTAAAGACTTGTGTATGAGAGAGAACAATGGAAGTTCTGTGCTTTGGGAAAGGGATTTTGAAGACAGGAAAGAGAGAGTTATAAAGTAATGGGAGAAAAAAAAGAAAAAATAAAAGAAAATCATTTGTAGATAGCTTAATACTGAATGTCCCTAAAAGGCGTTGTATATGTACATGAAAAAGATATTTTTATTCAAAGGACTGTAGGGAGTGGGAAAATATTCTTTATGATGTTCCTGATGCACAGACTATACCGTACCCTTTATTCAGCCACTGTTTATAATCTTTTCAAGGATGTAAAGCTTTCCATTTGCTGAAACCCGTAAGAAATATTATTTTCCTAATCCCTTTTCTCTTCTATATTCCAAACAACCTGACTTAGAATATTAAATGGTCTTAAAAAAAAAAAAAAAGAAAAATCTCCTCACTGTAGGTACAGTTTGTCACTGTATAGCACATAAAATCTAACGGTAACAAAGGCTTTAATCTGCTGTTTAACTGCAGTCTTGTTCTAAGTTGACACTAGACTAGATTTAAAACCAGTTGCACGATCAAGTGCAGATCCCAAATTCCCTCAATCACCTGTATAATCCAGACAGCTCCTGGATGCTCTTACAGACAGCTTTTACTCATCCCTATGTTTTAGAGAGTAAAAAAAAAAAAAAATATATATATATTAAAAAAAATCAATTTTTGCAAGCTCTAGATACGTTGAATGTATTCTTTTATAAAATGATACGTTAAAAAGAAGCTTTAGACAGATTTATGGATAGCAGAAAGACAAAATATAGAATTTAAATAATATCTGTAAATATGCAGCATGAGATTGTACATTTTTTTACTTTTTTAAAAGTTGTGTTCTTAAAACATTGTGTAGGATTCACCTCTTAGCTCTTAATATGTTATTAAATGCTCAATAAAACATATTTAGAGCCTGAATTAAAAAAAAATAAATAAAACAATCAGTGGTACTGGAAAACCTAAAATAAATAAATAAATACGCAGAAAGTGTTTGGAATTAATTCCATTTGTAAAGTGGTTAAGTGTACAGTAGCTTGCAACTTGACAATGTCATCCCGTGTATACTATTAGATTAACGACTGGTCTGCTCAGGTCATGCATAAATACTAAAGTATGGGATTATATTTGGTAGGTAAGAAAGGGTAAAATATTTGTTAAGACAGAAGTTCATCTGTATATTACTGCTATATTTGCTGATACATAACTGTTACAATAAGTGATGTAATATATGTAGCATTAAATACAAAGAAAAAAGTCATACATAAAAGAATGTACAGGAAAATAGATTTTATTGAGTAAACTTACTACATTTCATTTTTACTGTAGCAATATATTTGTAGGAACAATATGTAAGGGCTTTAAATACAAGATGTCCATTTTGCAGGTATTGTGCTCCCTTTAAAAAAAAAAAGTCTAGTCAGTATCATTGCTGCTGATTCTTAGATATAAAATTTCAGATAAAGATTTTTGAAAGAGATGGGAAGGATGGTGGATATTTGCAAGCATCAATTAAAAAAAAAAAGTAATATATTGTATGGAATGAATTTTAAAACAGCACTACATGAGCCTCCAGAGAAACAGCTGAGAGTCAAATTTCATAGGCAATGTTTTCTAAACTCTTTCTCAATAAATTAAAAAAAAAGTTGATATTCTCTACAAAAGGAAATAGTTAATGTTCTATTTAGAGAATTTTTTTTTTTTTTAACTAATGCTTCATTGTCTGACATTTGGTCCTGTCTAAACTTAAGTTATCTGATTGGAGCTTATTTCAAGGGGATGTTTCATCTTCTGGTATCATGTGTAGATATATGTATAGAAAAAAAAATAAACTATGGCTCTTTAACTTCTGTGTACTTGTTTATCTTGTTATTTTTGGCGTTAAACTAGTGTGTTCATTTAGGGCATTTAATCTTTCTCGCAATTCATAGCTACCTTTTGGTCTGCATTTTGCACATTAGATGTGAATATTACTTACCTAGTCTGCTTTTTGCTATGCAATGATTGCATTATATCACCTCTTAGTTAGTCTATGCCAATAGTATTATACTGTATAAACTTGATTGCACAGTTTATCAAAGACAAGGTATTATCTATGTAGCTTTTTTACAATGCTTTGCTAAACCATGTAATAATAGTAAGTCTTCCTTGAAAATAACGATACACTCTTATAGAGGACAGTTTTCTGTTTACTCCTGGGATAATTTTCAAAAGATGACATTGAATGTTTATTGCACCTCAGTGCAGTGATGTGGCAATAAAACCTAAATCTAATAGAGGTTGTTTATGGCAGAAGCATGTATTGCTTTACAGAGTTTAGCAAAAGCTTTTTATTTTATGTCAGACTGTAATTCTATTATAATAATAAAGCTAAAAATGTTCAATAATGAAAGTGAATGTTTTACTTGGGTTTTCTTTAGTTGCTGCCTTTTATGACACGTTGCCTGATAAACTGCTATTCGTTCCAAAACTTAGTTCCTAAGGATTTGCTAATGAATGCAGTTTTAACAGATAGTTTTCTGCCCGGTCTTTTCCAGGGACAAATGTAACAACAGGAGCGTTTTCAAAATCTGATTTGACATTCAAAAAATAAAAGTTCATTCTGCACAATGTATATCCCGTAAAGGAACTAATTGAATCAGATGAACAACTGTTAAGGTTTAGTACCAAAACAATAAGTGTGATACAGTGTAGGAACAGAATTCAATGCATTGTCTCCCAGCTAAAGTGGCAGACAAACCAGAGAGAGGGAGTAAAAACGTGGGCATTTAACATTACAGATTTCACTGTTTATTTAAAGGCGCAGATCTAAGACAGACGGTTAGAAGAGAACCTCAGGCTGTATAAAAGTAGTATGTCACTTTTGCTGCACAATTAGTATTTCCAGAAAGCAAAGCTCGTGCTCTGATGAAGGGGGAGACCCCCAGTTGCAGACGTACAGTGTTAGAGGATCCAAAGCAGGTGAGGCTGGTATAAAGGTATATAAGTAACTGGTTTTAACGCTCTTCAGCATAAGTCCCACGGCAGGATTCTTCAAAATGGAAGGAAAGATTGTCTTAATACAATCTCGCTCTATATTAACTTACTGTGCTTTCCTCTATTTTGAAGGAGAATAAAGCAGTCTGAATCCCTGTTCCTTGCCTCCTACTCCTTAGCTGCACAGAGACAAGTCCCTATGGAAACCCACAGGATTTTCTGGAGGAGGTTGGTAAAGAAAGTGGCGAGTGCCCTGTTTGAACACCCACCTCCTGTGTTCCCGTGCCAGATGCAGAGCACACATGGGGATTCTCACATCTTCTTTGTCACTGCTCAGACATTTTTCACGCAGAATTTACTCAATTAAAATGAGCAAAAGCGTCTAGATGCAACAGGATGTGACTTGGAGAAATTCAGCTTCACGGAGTGGAAGAACGGCCTCGTCAGAGCACGAATTCAAAGAGAGCCCAGTGTGACACCCTGACATGGCCCTGCTGTTCGCTCCAGCATTACATCCGAAGGGGCAAAACTCCTGCAGCTTTCTAGAACCATCCCTCAAAGCTACTACAGGACTTTCTTCACGACTAGGAACCTATTTTACAATAAATGACTTAATGATATATTCTCATTTGGAATGACTGTGAGACCTGAAAAAAAGAACAATTTCTTTTTCTCTCTGTTTTTCACCAATATGGTAAATAATAAAAAGCTTACAAAACACACTAATGGCTAGAAAATGGGACACACATGCTTCAGGGAGCAAATAAGAGAACCTCTTTCAGCCTGTGCTTTGTATCTGAATGACTGTCCAAATAAATTAGTGTGACTGGGGAAAGTCAAACTCTTGGAGGCTGCAAAAATATCAGTTATACTTCAGGAGATAAAACCTCAAGATCCCCTCGGACTTTCTATAGCAGCTCCAAAACAGAAGGGGAAAAAATAAAATAATAAATCCTCGTGCTATGCATAAACATGACATAGCTTAAATAAAAATGTGTTTGCAGTCTTAGCGCACGAATTTTGCAAGTGAAGTGTATTATCGGCTTGTCAAGCTGTTGCTGTCACGTTGCATCTGCTTACAAACTCCGTCAAATACAAGGAGAGAGGCAAAAGCCTGGAAACGACAAGTTTCTGTGGGCTCATAGGTCCATCCGAACAGGCAGGATGACTTCACAGCTGCTGATAAACTTCATTTGATTAAACTGCCCTAGGGCAGTCGAAGATGCTCCGAATCGATTCTGCACTGGCAGCAACAGCTGTTACATGCGTTTCACCCAAACACTACACTTTTCCCCTCAAAAACACGCAGAGAGCCAGACCGACTAACAACAGGCACCGCTTTTCTGACCATCAAGGGAGGGTGTATTTGCTGACCTCCGCTTCCAATCAAGGACATTTGAATGCAAACAGAGATGAAGAATTTCTTTCCAAGCATCCTCGTCTATGGAGTGTTTAATTAAGCTCAAGTCCTACGAGCCTGAGGCTCTGAACCAGGCACAAGGTGCTAAATTTGTTTAGGAGCGTTTCGCTAACGGCTGCCTGGAATGCACCATCTTTGCTACGTGATAGGGTTTTTTTAACATGTCTGCATCATCTGCTTAATACAAGGTGGCTGAAGTGCCTCATAGGAAGGAAATAATTCAGCTGCTATGGGATTAATGCAAATTTCTTTAAAAAAACCTCCATGTGTTTAGAGGTCCTATTTCATTACTGCCCATAGCAGCAGAACCACGCTTACAAACACGTGGTTTGCGAGCTTCTAGGGTTGCTCTCCATTGTAGTAATTTACTCCAAATGAGCCACAAGGATATGGAAAACTTAAACAGAAGAAATATCTTTTATGATCATCTAAGCCCCAAAATAACAGCCTAGCAAAGATACAATAGAAAGATCTTCCTCTTGAACTACTCTATATTCCTTACAAAACTAGCAAAGTGGATTTCAGCCAAGAATCTCTTAAAATGAACACAGCTTTTGAAAAAGAGGAAAAGCCAATAGAGGCCACAGTAACAATCCGCCAGTCGTTAGGACCTGCTCTACGGATATAAATTGAAGAAAAAACCCTAATATTTTTTGATTAAGCAAACAACTGAATTAAGAGTCCATCTCCTTTATGGATGAAATTGTTA